ACCTGGTGGGCTGTTGTGTCTAGGGGAACCCCTGAAAGACAGGGAAATTGTTGAAAGAACAGGACCTAGGTTGGCAGGGATAATTCTAGGCCAGAGGAATCTGCCTGAGTAAATACATGTGATGGTTAGGGTATACTGAGAGGACAGATATGGTTGTGATGAAGGGGTAATATAGAGTATTTATGGGAAAGGCTGGTGTAATCCCTCATCTATTAGCTATTTGGACTTTATTTTTCCTTTAGTAGAGAGCCGCCAAAAAGGCAGGGAGAGGTGGTGGGGTGGCCACTGCCAAACAGTATTCCAAGAAGGTTTAGCTAACTGTGCCGTATAGATTTATTCATCAAATCTCAGAATACTAAAAGAAGTTAGTCTTGGGAAAAATGAATTAATTCCCCTAAGTAACTTCCAATTATACGCATACGTTTGTGTGTGCGTGTGTGTGTGTACACGCGCGCGTGTGTGAGAGAGATCCATTACATGGTAGGTAAGTGACGAAACTCATTACCTCACAAGGGGTCAGGAATAGAGTAGATCAGCTCATGAATGATAAATCCAGAGTGTGCAAGGCTGTGACACTAACCTTTAATTTACTCTCATTGGTGCCCATGGTCTACCACAAAGCCTCCCCTGGTGACACCATCAGAGACAGACCACTACAGAACCTCATGACCTCCTGTTGTGCAGAAAACAAGGCCAAGCAAATGTCTGAATGTTCAGAATGTGCCTCCATGTCCATCACCGCGTGTGGAAGTTTTAGAAGATCCCTCTGGCTTCTGTGGAGGGGAGAACAGGGTGCAGTGGGGCCAGGGCCGAAGCTAAAATGTAGTCCAGGCAAGAGAGGATAGGAGTTTGTCCAGGATGGTGGCAGTCAGCGTGGTTGAATCCTGGGTTTATATTTGAAAGGAGGGTTGACAAGATTTGCTGATGAATTGCACGAGAAGTCAAAGATGGCTTGACTTCCAAGTTTCTGGCCTGAGCAACTGGAAGGATGTAATCGCCACTTGTTGAGGTGGGAGAAGAGTGGGAGGAGTGTGTTTGACCATTTGGGTTCAAGAATGATACCCAGCTGGTAGAAAAACAGAGCAGGGTCAGGTCTCATTTTCTTTTACAGGGGAATGTGGTCCTGGAGTCAGCAGTTCCTCCAGGGTTTGGGGCTGACTGCTATTTGACAAGGAAATCCTTGTGCTGGGACCTGAAGTTCCTGAGTCTCTTTTGGCCTCTTTTTCCATTTTGGCCAATTCTGTAAACCTTACCAAGAAGCCTGAGAGGCGAGGCAGCAGTGAGCCCAAAGTGGGTAGTCCTCTCCCTTCTGGGTCCCTGCTGGACATAGTGTTCGATGGTAAGGGCTTACTAGTGCGTGCAAAGGCTCCCAGATGCTTCACTTTACCACGAACTCGGTCATCTTGAGGGGGAAAAAAGTCACTCAGTCTCTCTCAGTCCGTGTTTTGTTTTGTTTAAGTAAACTTTTTATCTGTTTACTTTTGAACTTTAAGAAAAGGGGGGTTAGATTTTCTAAACTGAAGAACTCTAAGGTTTCTTATAGCTTTGAAAGATGGGGGTATTAGAGATTGGGGTACTAAAATCTTCAGGATTTTGTTAAGTACGTGCCTTTATAAGTCCGTAGTTCTGCCAGAGGAACTTGCCTATCATTTGCAAAAGCGAAGAATACCTGCCCTGCCTACTGCTACAGAGTCTTAGCAGAAATCTAGTGATATGCAGTGGGTGTGAGAGGGCTTTGAAAAGTGCTGCACAAATGCCAGGAGAGTCTTATTACTAGGATTGTGCTAGTCTTATTACTAGGAAGTTCTCTTGAAGGGGAACTTCAAGTCCTTAAAGTAGAATGGGAGGGGCTTCCTGTTGCCTAATCAATCAAAATGACCCCGAATACAAGCTTAGGTTAACATACGCCTTCTAGATTAGGGCTAATCAGGGGCAGGCTGAGCAGATGCAGGGACAATCCTGGCCTGATTACTGAACCTCAGCATTTAATCATCTCTCTTCCAAGGGCAGCCGCCGATTTAATGCACGCTGGGTTTCCAAGCCTCTAGCCCCCTCCCCCTTTCCACAGACATAAAGGCTGCTAGGTCAGAGACACTGAGTCGATTTAATCTAATCCCATGTCAGAATGGCTGTGTGTGTGAGAGAGAGAGATTCTAAAATCCCCACAATGGGATGGTAATGCACTTATTTAAGGTAGAGGTAGACTGAAACTGCATGTAGAAAATAACGGACTTGGGATTTCAAGGCATTAGAGGTTACGAAATGACCCTGTATGTGGAATTTCTACCTCCGAGAAGCTTTTTAGATATGTAGTCGCTGTCATCAGTCACTCACTCTCGAGACAGCTTTGTATGGGAGTCATTTTATCACCCAGTTGTAGAGGTCAAATTTACTCCTTCCCTGATGTGAGGTGAAGGACAGAAGGTGAAATCTTTAAAAATGGTTTTATTTGGGTGAGCTCTGAGTGTAGTTGTTTTTGTATTGCTTTCTCTGGACTGAGAGCTCCCATTCTGAAACAGCCTGATCACCTGAAGACTCACCCACTTCAGTCATTTAGTCCCTAGGCGAGGACACCTGTGAAACCTCAGAAGGCAGGTTTCATTCATGAGTGTAGAAAACATTTACTGAGCACCTGCTGATCGCTAGGGACTCAGGTATGGAGACTCCATCTCTCCCTTAAGGAATTTACAGTCTCCTTGGAGATAAGACATGCAAACAGTGATAAAGAATATGACCATTGCCTCCATGGATGCCAGTGCAAAGTGCTGTGGGCCCTTGGGGAAAGAGGAGCTAAGACAGAGGAGGAGAGATTGGAGCTGACTATTGAAGGAAGAATAGAAGCCCATTCGAGGAACAAGCCAGGGACAGTCATTCCAGGCAGAAGTCACAGTGTGTGCACACCATGGAGGTGTGTGTGGAGAGAACCTCAATCAAATAGTTCACCTGCCTGGAATGTACAGTGGGTGAGGATTCATGGATCACCAGGCTGAACTGAGCAACAGGGGCTGATGTGAAGGGTTGAAATACCTGCAAAGGGATCTGGACTTTACATCCCACACAGGCCATTGGAAACCACTGAAGAACTGTAAAAGAGTGCAACAAGATCAGTTTGTGTTCAAAAGATCATTCTGGTTATAGCAGTGTCGTAGTTTTGCATTTGAACCTTTCTCCATTTTATTTTGGGGAAAATCTTCCACGATACTAAAGAGTGTTTTAACAACAGTGTTGGGCATGGACCCGCACCCTAGGTAACCCAAACACATCGTAAGCCAGGGTGGAAGAGATTTAAGTCTCACAGTTCTTCAAGGTTCTCTCCACCCCATCACTAACCCAGGACGGTCGCTCATAGTCAGGAAGAAGCTCCCCACCCATAGTATTCACTGTATTTGTAAAGTATGTAACTTGTTCCCCAAGCTTGGAGCTTTTGGAACTGAATCAAGCCCATAAGCAACAACAGTGAAATGAGACTGATCTTTGCTTCTGGTTTTGGTTGCTGTTTACTAACATGTGGGTTCTTTGGAGGTGTCCTGGTTTTGCCACAGGGCATTTTGGGTTATTTCACTGACTTTTTCTGTTGTGACCAGAAGAGAGGATGAAAGTGAAGATGATCAAGATACACTGGGGTGATGGAAGGGGGTCATTTGGTCTTCAGATACACTCAGGCCCATGCCTGGAGTCTAGACACTGGGGAGTAGAGCCCAGCTGCATGTTGGTCGAGGCCAACAATAGAGTCCCTTGGCCTGCTGCCCTTGAGGCCGTGTTGATGCCAGTGTTTGGCACACCTCGTACCTCATACTGTGGGGAATAGAACATGAACCAGAGCCAAGCCTGGCCTTGAAGGAGCCTTCAGTCTAGTGGGAAGGCCTATCTACATACATTAACTGGGCCAAGCCAGATTATACCCCACTGTCGAGTGGTTATTGAGAACCCCAAGGAGGCTGCTATCAGTATTGACTAGGGCTGGGATAGGCTTCCAAGAGGGGTTTTAAAGGGGAAGGAGTGGGCAGTAAGGGAATTCTAGTTAGTGTACAACTTGAGCAAAGGCCCAGAGAAAGGAATGTGACCAATATGTTGGGGAACTGAGAATAGTCCAGGGTGATACCCAGAGCACAGGGAGTAAGGGAAATGAGACTGGACAAATCACAAGAGGTTCTGAATACCATACCCAACATTTGAACTTTATTATAGGCTTTGTGAACCTTTTTAACATCAGGGGATTTGAAAATTTGAGGTTGGGGAATGACGAGTTATAGAAACATAACAGGTGGCAGGAAGGGGGGTGAACGGAAAGAGGAATTGATTAGAGACATGTAAGAGCCATTTGCAAAGGGCTAGATGAAAGAAATTGAACCCGACAGCCTTCTGAAGCCAGTGCGTGCCGTGGCCCCTCAGCCTGCTTGAGCTGGCCTCCTCCTTCCTCCTTTTAGGTCCCAGCATCTCAAGTGTGAGGATGGTGGGCCATGCCTTGCATTTCCATTAACACACACCAGGGTGAGCCTGGATTTCCAAAAATGTCGACAAAGCAGAACCTCAAGCCCCATTTCAGGTTGCATCATAGAATACTTATTTCTAAACTGGCAACACTTACCCCTAGAAAACAATTAGATACAATTTGACATTGTAAAATAACCTTTTATTTTATGTTTGATTTTTTTTTGCATTAGGAAATATTCTGTTAAAATTTTTTAATTTTTATTTTCATCAAAGTGATATATAGTTTTAAATGACAAAAAGGACTAAAAGCCTTTAAAAACAAATATTTGTACCCCAAGGGCAACACTTGATGCTCTTTTTTCTGGTATGTATCTTTATTGCTCTAAACAATAGTCTTGAGTTGAGACGTTATTTGTTATCAATTTTTGATAACTCAGTTTCTATGTTTATATTGTTAGAAACATAAAATTTTATAAACGTAAAAATTGTTCAAAAAAAAAATTGTTCACTGCCAAGACGAGTGGGTATGGTTAATCCTTGCTTTTTTTTTTCTTCTACTTTTTAAGGAGTAATCACCGGTTCTACCCAATTCTGGAAGACCCCTCGAGGTACTTTATCCCACGAGCTCATGCCACTTCCCCCCTGTCCTCTCAGACGTGCTGCACAGCCCCCTTCCTGGGCCCTCCTGCTGCCCCCACGCTCCCTACAGTGGATTCTCTGTCTCCTAGACCCCACGGCCACTTATTTCTTAAGTTTTCTCTCTCGTTTCTGTAGGGTACATCCTTCAGAGCTTCGAAAGAAAGTGTGCATGGCGGGCCAATTTTTAGAGCCCGTACAAGTCTGCAGATGTGTTTATTCTGCCCCCACGCTTAACTGACCTGGGTGTCACTTCATATATGGTCTGGAGAGAGAATTCTAGGCTGAAAGCATGTTCTCTCAGACATTTGAAAACATTGCTCCATCATCTTCTAGCCTCCAGGCTTGCTTTTGAGAAGTCCCACAATATTATGATTTCCAGTTCTTTGTATATGACGATTTTTTTTTTTTCCTTAAATCTTTTGGGAGCTTTGCTTTATCCCTGGTGTTGTGAAATTTTGCAAAGCTGTGTCTTAGCGTCTGGATCTTTTTTCATCTGTCCTGCTGGGCACCTAGTGGGCCTTTTCAATCTGAAACTCACATTTTTCAGTTCTTGAAATTTACTTACAACATGTCTGATGATTTCCTACCTTCTGTTTTTTCTGGTCTCGGAATTCTCTTTTATCAGAGCTTGGACCTCTTAAGGTCTCCTGCTTTCCACCTTTTAACCTTTCCTGCTCTCTAGATTTCCTTGACTTAACCTTCTGATCTTTCTGTGGCATGGATTTCATCTATTTGATTTTTAAAGAAGTTTTCTCTCATTCCTTTTTAATAAAGCTGTCCACTTTTATGATACAAGCCTTTTCTCTCTGAAGATATTAGAGTTTGGGGGCATTCGTTTTTGTTTTTTTCTGCTCCCCACATCGTCTCTGTTCCCTCTGTGTTCCCTAAGAGTGAAACACTGAAACACTGATAGTTGGGGTATGCAGGGCAGAGCTGGGTGGCCTGTAGGCCTTGGGGTGGTAAATATTAGGGCCGCAAACCAGGTTTTTCATTGTCTCCGCACCCCCTTCCCCTCACCTCCCCACCCACCAGATGTCACCGTAGGTCTTCCCTGCAGCCTCCCCGGGTCAGTTTCTCAATACAGTGGGTGAACTTCAGATGTCCTGTCAACAAAGGTCTGGGTGTTGGGGTTGGTGGGACCCGCTGGTCCAGTCAGTTGAATACAAGCTGTCAGCTAACGCCTGTTTTTGGCTTCTTCCTCTCGTTCTGCAGTGGCTGAGCCTCCATGTCCTGAGCTCTCTGGGACACAGGAGTTGCAGCTTCCCCTTCTCTGATAAGTCAGAACCCCTTTACGTTTGCTTTGCATCTTCCAGAAATATGTTGACATCCCTCATTTATATCTTTTTTTCCTCCTTCACTATAATTTTTATTTTAGAAGGAAGAGGAATTTTATATGTGCATTTATTCTGTCTTATTTAATTGGAAATCTTTTTTTTAATGTTATATAAAATTATCAACTTTCCTTTCTTAGGGAGGACTGCCCTTTTCTGAAATTATTTGCTTCCTCCTTTCTTTCTGTTAAACCCTCCTTTCTAAAATAATAGTGATATTAGGAGGTAGTTGGAGGTCTTTTTTTTTTTTTTAAAGTTGACCCCAGAACGTATTTAAAAATTTTACTGGTCTATGAAATCTAATATCAGAAAACTAATTACCTAGGCTTTTTTTTTTTCTCTCTTTTAAATAAGCTGACTCTGAGGAGAGGGATAATGGCCAGAAGACAGGAAAGGATTGAGGGAGAAGTTTTTTCAAGCTGAGAGAAACGAGCATAGGCAGCCAGAGGGTTGAAGAAGTCAGTGTAGCAGAATATCAGAGAAAATTAATGGTGGCCTTTCCTGGAGAAGAAGGCAGTCAGAAGAGATGGACTTGTTGAGAGGAGAATTCACATCTGATGGGCCTGTGTATGCTTCCTAAAGTTGAAGGTAGGCCGGCAGGCAGGGTCATCTCTTGGCAAGTTGGGGAGGCCCTGTTCTGAGGCATGTTTCTACAATTTCTCCAAATTTTCTTTCCTGATAGTCTGTTTTAAAGAATTAAAATGGGGTGAGAAAAGGGTTGTATTCGTGCCTGGACAGTGGGTGTGCAATTACCTGAGGCTGCAGACAGTGATACTCTGAGGGCTGGAGCTCATTGCCCTGTCCAGCCAGCATCTGGGAAGCTGCACCCAATCCCCACCAACCGTCTCCCCTTGTCTCCCCAGGACTGGTCCAGATCCCTGTGAGCATGTACCAGACTGTGGTAACCAGCCTCGCCCAGGGCAATGGGCCGGTGCAGGTGGCCATGGCCCCTGTGACCACCAGGATATCGGACAGCGCAGTCACCATGGACGGCCAGGCTGTGGAGGTGGTGACGTTGGAACAGTGACATGCAGCCATATCATGGCATCGTTTTCTAGTCTACTTCAAAATTTTTTACACGTTTGCAGAGGTGCAATCAAATGAAATTAAGTCTCTCGACTTTGGAAGAAAAGTTTTGTTAACCTTTTTTTTAAAAAGGAAGAAAGGCAGCGGATTTTGGAATTGCATTTTTTTAAAGCACCACTCTTGATTTTCTGGGATTGGTGGAACAAGATACTGCGTTGTCAATTTCACTGTCCCCAAAAAGCCAAATTGTGGCAAGGACTTCTTTCTGCGAAAACGTGTGTATAGTTCCGTGTTTGTATGTGTGAGTGTGAATATATGTATATGTGTACATATGGATATACGCATTTACATATATATATAAAGTATATATATGTGTGTGTGTATGTATATGTGTGTATGTATACGTGTGTGTGTATGTATATGTATATATATATATAAATATATATATATAAATATATATATATATATATATATATATAAAATGTATGTATGAAACCCGCATGGAATTATCTGTATGAGATCAAGGTGAGCTGTGGAAAAAATAATTCACCCAGTTTAGTGGGTGTTGGGTACGTGGCCAGACACAGCCACCGGTTTTTGTTCATACCAGGGTCATGCGTTGAGCTACTGACAAACTCAGGCAGAGGTGACCATGCCCTTCACCAAAGCTGCCTCCCAGTGGCCACCCAGAACTCTCCCTGCTGGTCTTGCCTGAGGAAGGATGTTCCAGAATGGGGTGAGGTCCAGAAATTGTGCTTGCAGGGTCCAGGGCCTCGTGGTCTGGCAGCTGGGACGCTCCTCGGGCTGGCCCAGGTGCTGACCTTGCCACGGGCAAGTGACCGTCCTTAAAACTCCCAGGCAGGGGTGAGAGGGTTTTCCTCAGCCTCCCATCTCCTCCCCTCCCGAGGAAACCTTCTTGATCTCATGACTATTAACATGTCACTTTGGTTTTAAGGTCAGTCCTGAATTGGTCGTGTATATGAATTGAAGGTAACAGAAGTATTAAGGGTTTGAGGAGTGCGTGCGTGTTAAGTGTGCTTGTGAGTGTGTGCGTGGTGGGGAGAGAATGGGGGGGGTGGGAGGGGTTGGAAGGGGAAAGGAAGGAGGGAGAGAAAAATCTTCAAAGACCAGGTTACACCAATGGGAGCAATTTTTTCCTTTCCTGTAACTTTCTGTAGCTTAACAGAGGAGACTGAAACTGACGGGGGCACCTGGCTCGTGGAAGGTTGGCCGTCACGCTGGGGGAAGTTAGAGAGAGAGGGCTGAGGGTGCTTCCTGCACTCCTGGATCAGGCCCTGTTTCAGAAGGAACCCTGCAGTTTTCCCAGGTGCATCCTGCTGGGCCTGGGTCCCCGCACAGCTTCCTTCTCACAGGTGTTGATTGGTCTGGGTGTTCTTGTAACTAAATTCTGTGATTTCTCAGCTGCAAGCCCCAAGTCTCCAGCGGCTAAATTCACCTGACTTTGACAGGCCAAATCTCTGCTCCTTGAGTACAGGGACAACTCTTCCTTCCTCCTCCCGGGCCCCCCATGTGTGATAGTGTATTTAATGTTTTTTTTCTTTTAATGCGACATTAAAAGATTCTTCACATCTTGCTCAGCCTTTGAGAAAAGTTTCAGATTCTTGTATTTGCTTGTTTTATATAAAACTATCCAATGTTCTTTGTATGTTTTTTTCTGTACGTAATGGGGGAGGGAGGGGAAATTTACATAAAACAGCCCTAGTTCTACAATTTGTTATTTTTTTAATTATTATTTTTTATCGTCGTTGTGAAACTGTCCAGGGGCTTTAAAGTCAGTGTTCCTTTGTGGTGAAATAACCTCCTAATAGTTTGAGAAATTGCCAAGAAGAAGAAGAAGAAAAGCAAGACCCCAGTAGCAGAGCATGGATTCTGTGTCGTTTTCCATTCTGTCTATTACTGCCTCATTCAATAAATAGTAACAAAGTGGCAACAGGAAGTGGAACTGTTCATCTCTGTAGGAACACTTAGCCTCTTAGGAATTCTCTTTCGGGGAGGCTTGTTCTGCTTTGTAAAAGGCAGAGGTGCTTTTACTCAAGCTCAGTGATCTTTGAACTGTGCTCCTTGGCGCTGTGGAGCCCTGTAAGGGGAGTGCTAGGGTGAGGCTGGGGCCTCCTGTCCGTCCCCCATCACCAGAGCAGCTCTGTTGAATCAGTTTTGTAAAATGCTGTCCTGGGGGATTAGGGGGATCTACTTTGAAAACTTCTATTCCGGAGTCCCCCTTCTAGGAGTTAACTGCATCCCACATTAAACATCAGGGTGGGTGGTGGTGCCCGTCCATCTGTGTCCTCCCCACATGAGTGCTGTTCACTACTGCAGTGGCTTGTTCTTCTTGAAGCAGGAGCCCCAAGCCATTAACTGTTTCTTTGGGCCCTCACTCCCTGGGCTCGCGCACAGCTCGCTACTTTAATGTGGCAGCTGCCCTTCTTGCGCCCGTGCCTCCTGCCACAGCCCCAGCTTCAGGCCCTTCCAAGCCCCTTGAGTCTGCCCCTCTGCGTTGTGCCCCTCGTGCCCACTGGGAGCCTCAGCCTGGAGTGATGCGCTCCTTGCCGCCTCCGCCACCCCTTTCTTTCCTTTTGTCCTTGGATGTTTGGGTCGGTTTCCTGGTGATAATGACTAGAACAGTTGCATGTGAAAGCCAGCAGTGTTTTCCTTGCTGCCTGACAGGGGCTCGATAAAGCCAGTGCCACCTTTTCCCTCTCTTCTTGAACAAATGGCACGTCATCACCTGTTGTCACCAGAGAGGGTGGACCCCAGGAAGGATTGATGGCAGCCAGATGAACCAAACATCACTGCCGTTGGCCACCCAGGGAGCAGCTGGGTTGTCTAGAGTACGTCTGTGGGGATGGCCTCTCTCCAGAGGTGTAGTACATTCTGTTTGCCTGGCAAGACCCAGATGCTGCCTTTTCAGCAAGCATGTATCGAAACTTTCTTTGGTGGGGTAGGTGGAGACCTTTGCTTTCATTATTGCCCAAACCACCAGCAGGAGCTGCGAACTCAGCTGCCTACAGGGACCAGGCAGGTGGAATCAATGCGTAAAGTGGAAGCCATTCAGTGGTGAGAGGAGGAGGAGTGATGGAGAGGACAGAGTGGAGAGCATCTGTCTAAAGGGAGCAGCCCCTCCTGAGTGCTAGCAGATCGTCTCCAAGCGGGAGGAACATGGGCCCTGAAGCCCCATCTTTTAAATTTTCCAGAGAAACTGGGCAGTCCAGGTTTGTGTATGAATCTCCTGATTTCAACAACAAATCAAAACTCCTTTACATACTCTGCAGGCAAAATAAAACCCACCTGTAGACCAGCTCTGGCCTGTAGGTCAGTTTTGTTTAACTTGGTGAATGCCTACCACTGCCAGGTGAATAAGTCATGGCAGTTGCCTGAGAAACGGGAGATGAGGAGATATTCGTGTGAACAGATCGCAGCAGCCCGGTGTGATAAGGTGCCGTCTGGACAGAGTGCCATGGCAGGGTGAGTTATATTATCTCATTTTATCTCCTTAAGGGTCCTCTGCATTAAGTAGTTTATCACCCAGGCTGCAGACAAGAATCTGGTGCTCAGCGAAACCAAGATACTGGGCTAGCAATTCTTGGCTTTAAGTCCTGCATTTGAGAAGATCTGTTGACAATGCTGGTGACCACTGGAGTCTTCCAAACTCAGATAAGTGAGCCGAGGAGAACCAGAAGGGCAGGGAAGAGAAGGGACTGTTCGCTCTGTAAGAAGAGCTCAGGCTGCCAATGCGCGCTAGCCTCACTCAGACCCAAGCAAGGCTCATCTCCAGCCGCTTCTCAGGTGGAAGAGGGCCTGCTCCTGCATTCGCCTTCCTCCCTACCTGCCGCCATTCCTCTCCCCTCCTCTATCATGCCCCCAAAGCCTTAGCGATGGATGGAGTTGTACTAGGCCCGTGGCGGCTCCCTTTGGTGTCGGCACCAAAACCAATCAGGGGAAACTTCAAAGCTTATTTGGAGCAGAGGCTACGTGGGGTGAGGAAGACAAGCCCACATTTCTGCTCTCACCTCCATCTCAGTGGGCTGTGGGCTGCCCAGGTCATCAGCCCAAGCCAGCCTGTGGCCTCAGCACAGCTCATGCTCAGATGCCAGAGTCAGGGGCACCCGTCAGTGCATTCCCACCTGGCCTCTGCTGTTTGCTCCAGGTTGGCAGCTCTTGGAGAAGATCCACTCAGGACGGTGGAGGCAGCACAGAGGAAGGAGGTGCACAGAGCGGGGAGATATGGCGTTAGGACTGGACCCTGAAATAGCTGGAGAACGTAGGCTTTTCTCCACCTGCTGTTCAGCTCCTGGTGCTGCTGGGCCCCTGAATGAGTCCCCAACCCACCCTGAATTTGAGTTTCTCCCTCCTGAAAACCGCTGACCTGTTAGCAAATATTTGTTGAGTACTGGAGTGTATTTCTGCAGAGTTGGGAGGGGAAAGGCAAAGGAACAGGGATAATATTCATCTGCAGAGGGGAGGGGAATGAGGATCCCCCGAGAACCCGGGCCTTATCCAGCGCCAACTTATAAGGCAAGGACAGGCCTGTGCCCCCAGCCCTGTTCAGAGGCGTTTCTAGCTTTAGTTTATGAGAACTATGGCTTATCTGCAATTAAGAGTGTTTATATGGTAGCAATAATAATAGTTAACACTTATACAGCCCTTACAATGTGCCTTGTTCTAAGAGATTTGCCTATATATTAACTTACTAGTTTTTACAAAGTACTGTTATTGTCACTACTTTACAGATGAGCAAACTGAACCACAGAGAGGTTAAGAGGTAGCTTATTTAATATTTGGGGAAGAAAGCTAGAAAGAGTCCCCCAAACTTAATGCATTTATAAGTAAAATTGTTGGTGTAACTTAAATTAACTGGGTCTCAACTCAAATTTCTTCTGAACTTACCCTTTAAGAAACTAATAGTTACAATTATCAGTTACTAAATGGCTGCTCT